TTTAAAGTGAGTTTCAAAGGGACACTATAGTCACCAAAACAACTTTATCTTGATGAAGCAGTTTGGGTGTATAGATCATGTGCTTGCAGTCTCACTGCTCAATTCTCTGCCATTTAGGAATGAAATCACCTTTGTTTCTGATTATGTAGCCCTAGCCACACCTCCCATGGATGTGACTGACACAGTCTGCAGAACAGCAGCACATGGAGAGACAAAATAGTATAAGAACAGCCAGGTGCAAACCATATAAACACTCCCTCAAGTGCTTTAAATATTCAAGTGTATATAGAATGCACACTATAACAATCTCAAAAAAAACTTTGCGTTATTATGTACAAAAAAGTACCAGAGTGAAAACATATAAGAAAAGATAAACAAAGTGACAGAAGCAAGGGCAAACACAATAAAACAATAGTAAATTACCACAAAAACTCTTACAAGCCTCAAGACAGAAACACAAGTCACCAAACACCCCAACGTTTCAGCACCAACTGGCTGCCTTTATCAAAGGTACCTGTATCCATGTTCAAATGTGTCTGCTTATAAAGCCCTCTTACAGCTGATGGCCATCAGCACAAAATTGTTACCAGCTCAGGAAGTGACATCATCACCTCAAGTCCTGGCACAATATTTTAATAGTAACATTTTAATATCAAATCAAAACTGATTGGGTGCACTGAAAACATATATGGAGTAAAAAGAGTCATGGGACCTAAAATAATAATAACAGATGTTAATATTCTAATAACCAACCTCTATAGACAATAAGTGTACTCCCACTTTATCCGGTGTCCATAACCGCCATCTTACCTATTTGCAGAACACACACAAACACCTGTATGAATATGCTCCACAGGCATCACAGCCACTGCTGCGCGCAACGATAGTCCGCGCATGCGTTCTGTAATGAGTGCAGCGCATAGTAACATCCTGCTCGCGCATGCGCATAATGGCAAACTGCCGCGCATGCGCATAGCAACATCCTATTTGCGCAGGCATACTATGTGTGCCGTGCATGCGCGTAGTAACATCCCGCTCGCGCAAGCGCATAACGGCAAACTGCCGCGCATGCGCATAGCAACATCCCATATGCGTAGTCATACTATAATGAGTGCCGCGCGTGCGCGTAGTAACATCCCGCTCGCGCATGCGCATAACGGCAAACTGCTTGTGTCAGTATGGATCAATGTGTGTGTATGTCAGGGAGTGTGTATGCATTAGTGATTGTGTGCCAGTGTCTGTTGATGAGAATATGTCCGTATGTGTGGGCATCAGTGACTATATGCCAGTGTGTGCCAGTGAGTATTCATCTTTTTTTTTATTTTTTATTTAAAATAAATTGAATAATAATAATAAAAAAAATAAATAAAAATAAAAATATATATATATATAGTGTTTTGCTTTATCTATGTGATTTGGTGATTTGTGGGAGTATTATGCATCTATATATTTGCACAAATATATATATAATGTATGTATATGTTCAGCCCCCACGGTGATCGGCTGCCTGAGAGCAGAGGCAGGCAGTGGGATCACTGAGAACAGAGGCAGGCAGGCTGCTGAAAGAGCGCGGGGGCGGCTGGCTCATGGAGAGCTGTGGGAGGAAGGCAGGCGGCTGACAGAGGGAATTGGGCGGGCAGCTAATTTATTGCGGAGGGAGAGGCGTGGCCGGCCCATGGAGAGCTGTGGTATAAAAGGTGGGCAGCTGACGGATGGGAGCAGCCGGGCAATGGAGAGCAGAGGGAGGCGGGCGGCTGACTTAGTGCCACGGCGAAGGAGCTGTAATCTCCCTGCTCTGCGAGAGGGAGCTGAGTAGGGAGATGACAGCAGCCCTACTGAACCCCAGGGAAAGCATATCCACTCTACCTCTCTAAAGGTAGGGAGGCTGGGTGGATTTAAATTTAAATAAAAAAGTAATTACTTGTGAGTGTGTGTGTCTGTCTGAGTGTGTGTTTCTGAGTATGTCTGTGAGTGCGTGTCTGTTGGAGTGTTGGTCTGAGTGTCTGTCTCTGTGTCTGTCTGTGAGTGAGTCTGAGTCAGTCAGTAAGTGTGTGTGTTCCCTCCAATCACATGCGAAAGGGTTCTTTTTTTTATTTTTTTATTTTTTTTATTTTTTTAACTCACTTTTTTCCACGCTTTGGCTGGCTCCACCTCCATGGCTGAAATCCTCAATCTTGACGATCTCAGCCAATCCAATGCTTCCTCATAGCAAAGCATTGGGAGACTATTGCGCATGCACGGCAAAATGCCACTGCGCCAATTTAACTTCTCATAGAGATGCATTGAATCAATGCATCCATATAGGGAACATTAACGTAGTTGCTGCACAGTGTGAAGCACCGACCCAGGAAGCACCTCTAGAGGCTGTCTGAGTGACTGTCGCTAGAGGTGTCACCAGGCAGCAATGTAAACACTGCCTTTTGTCTGAAGAGTCAGTGTTTACATTTAAAAGCGTACAGGGACAGGATATAGACTTCAGAACAACTACATTAAGCTGTAGTGGTTCTGGTGATTATAGTGTCCCTTTAAGAATTGTATTTTTGACGTTGATTTCTCTGGCTCCTAACTTTTCTAACTGGCTGCTAGATTCCAAACCAATTTGTCAAAGTGTGTGTGTGTGTGTGTACACTCTCTCAAATTATTATGGTACACATATGTTAATAGACATATGCATACATAATACACATTTGGAGATTACACACATATATAAATGTAACAAGGGTTTTACATTTGTCAAAGGGTTATTCACTAAATCTATAATTTTAGGAAGTGAAAATCTAAATTGCGTAATTTAGACCAAAATAGCAGATTTGAAAAATCCAAACTTTGCCATAGTGACAGCTTGACTATTGTAGCCTAATTTTTGGAATGTATTCACCCTGCCTTTCTCTCAGTCTTTTATTCCCTGGTATATAACTATATACAACGCAGAGTGCACTCATAGGATTGAGGACTAAACAAAATAAGATTAATTTAAATTAGACATGCAGCAGCTATCAGTCAATGACTTCAAGTTTTGGGGATGAAAAGTTGGGTAAATATATTTAAATCTTTTGTATTTTTCCACATGTATATCTGTCACAGTTCGCAGCTGATGTTAGGGCTGGTGTAAAAAAAATTCCAGGGCTACTTTTTATTCTCAGTCCGGCCCTGCCTTTCAACTGTTCTTTAAGTACAGTTGCAGAATCCCAACTCCGCAGATCATGTGATGTGCAGACAAAATGCTGGGAAGCCACAGCGGCAGTTCAGAACCACTGCATTTGTAATGTAATTGTGCCGCACATTTAAAGGATTACTCAAACCAAAAAAAAGGTAATTTTAAGAAACCACTGTTTTAGGATACAAACTCAAATCACTTCAAGTGGTCATGATGCTTTAAGTAGCCTTTCTAACATACATATTTAAATTACATTGAAAAGTTTCCATAAACAGCTTAATTTCTAGAATATTAATAGAATAACATTCATATATGATACTTTTGTTGACTTCTAAAAGAAGCCAGCAAAGTATCAGGAAAAAAGTAACATTATTTGCAATAATGATAATTCTAGTGAAAATAATAATTTGTTCAGATAAGAAATTGTTCAGCTGTGATGTAATGCTCTGCAACCTATTTTAAACGCTATTAAACCTACCCTGTAGTTTAGATGTAGGGACATAAGCTTTGCCTCTGTCTCTTACTAGAACATTCATGAACTTAAACCCTAATAAAGATCATAGAAATATTGACAGTTTGGTGAGAATTAAAATCCATGAAACTGTATGTTTATTTTCCTAGGTGGATCGGCTGTCTTTGATAACTAACAGTCACATTAGTCTGATTCCAACCTTTATTTCCTTATTTATTCACTAGATTCCAGCGCCAATATCCCTCAGTGCTGTGTCAGTGCTTTGCTCCTAATGCACATGTGCGGCAAGTACATTTAGGCCCTTCTCATAGGACAGCATTGACTCAATGCAGTGCCTGAGGACATCTAGCGTCATTTAGGGGACTCAGAGTCCATTAAATTCACGGAAGCACCTCTAGTGGCTGTATGGTAGATAGCCATAACAGGTTGTCTTAAAACTATAATGTAAACATTGCAGTTTCTCAAAAGGAGTAAGGGGAACATGGGGACAACATCCAGACCACTTCAATTATCTGAAATGGTCTGGGTGCCTATAATGTCCTTTAAATATCCTGTAAGCTTTAAATGCTGGGCATTAGCAACTCAAATCAGAAGGTGATGCAGGGGCCCCGGTCAATTCAGCAATATTCCTCTTCTAGAAATGTAATTCTATTGGCTTGTTGACTAATTGAACTTGATGTATCTTGAAATAAATATGACAATCTAATTTTACATCTGGTACAATACTTGAACAGATATTAAAATACTCTTGTGTGCTCTTCAGAATGTCTAATAACTTATATTAACATGGCAAAATCTACAATTTACAGCTTAGCAACAATTAAAAATACATGACTTGGCTGGTAAAGATCTTATTACCATGCATCTAACATTCTATTACCTTACATCTAACATTCCTACATAACCCGCCCTGTTCTTGTTTGCTTTCACAAGTTCTCATTTTGTTTTTATTGCCATTTGTTACAGCTGTTAAATAGAGATGTCGCGAACCGTCCGCAAACTTCTCGCGAACGGTTCGCGGCGAACTCCGGTCAGCTGACACGTCCCGGCCAATCTCCAGCAGACCCTCCCTCCCAGGCCCTCCTACTTCCTGGACAGCATGTTTCAACATGGATGCTGTCCAGGAAGTAGGAGGGTCTGGGAGGGAGGGTCTGCTGGAGATTGGCCGGGACGTGTCAGCTGACCGGAGTTCGCCGCGAACAGCTCGTGTTAAAGTTTACAAGGGGCATAACCTGCTGTGTCTTTGAAGCCTAAAAAGTTAAAGTACACAGAGTTATCTCTTTCCCTCTCCTCAAACCTACATATACATATGGCTATAAAATGTTTTCACTATTCTACATGTCACACTACATAGAACCCTATATCTTACTGGCCTCTCACAAGTGGAACATGACATGAGTGCAGCTTGTATTAACTTTATTCAGCCAAGCATATTGACATAATTTTGTGTCTCAAGATTGTCAGTAGACTGACTGCACATAAGCATCTGAAGGGAAAATGTTATTTTACACTGTTCTTTTCCTGGGTAATCATCATTTTACAACTTTACATATATGGAGAACGGAATGACCGGGAAAGTGCATAGGATCTACACATGCGGTTAATCCATGAACGACTAAAGTTGTATAAATGACTGATAGTAAAAGGTTGAAGATATGAAACTCTCTCATTAATCTCCAGTTTTGGGCTTCTGACCAAATATGGCCAAGAGTACAGCATTGAAAAGGGTATTGGGACCCTGAATTTACATGCATTGTGAGCACTGAAATAAAATGTTAGATTCTTAGTTCTTGCTCTACGGGTATATTCTGTGATTTCCACATAATGTGATATCGTAGGCCATGGCATCTCATAACTGTTGCATGTGTATTGCAATTTAACAAGACCCAGGATAGGGATCGGCAACCTTTGGCACCCCAGATGTTGTTGACTACATCTCTTGTGATGCTTTGCCAGCATTGTGGCTGTAAGAGCATTATGGGAGATGTAGTCCAAAACATCTGGAGTGCTGAAGGTGGCCTACCCCTGACCTAGGAAATACATTCCCATGGTAGCTCTCACAAGTTAGGCGTGTTTGTTTGTTTGTGCAGAGAACCATACTTTCTCATGGTTATGCACTAAGCTCGGGATTTCACATCATTATCTACAAGCAAGGGAGTTTTTAAACATATAAGCATACTGTAGTGGTTATGGTTCTCATTCCATGAATTCCTGCTTACACCACCACCCAGTGTAAGTAGTCAGATTGGTTTGGAACAGTTTACCTTCTTACCAGGGGTCTGCCTGGCTCTGCTTTCCAGCTCCACTAGCTCTCCAGTTCTAAGCCCTGTGGGCTGGGCGTGTCAGTTGATCCCTCTTACTACTACTGCTTTTAGCTCAGACAGAGAGCTTTTGTCTCTCTGTCTTAAATAGTGGAGGCAGGGGAGTGACGCACGTTCTAAAACAGTCTGACTACTTACAACAGCCGGCAGGTGCACTTTAGTGGTTATGGTGCTTAAACTATCTTTTTAACTTTCTTTGCCTTTGGGACTTCAATTAATTGTTTGTCTCATTCTATAACTAACAGCTGTTCCCCAGTCTTCCATTTTTTTTTTTGGACGAATGAAAGGTAGACCTCCTGTTTTCATTTCTCTTTAATTTTTCAGACTGGAGGAAATCTACACTGCCTCATGGCATTTCAGAAACGCAGTTGGCAGAGATTTGGGCCATGGAATTTGCAACTTGGCAACCTGAGGCCAGAACCCCAGCCACCACCCATGCATTCCAGGAGAATCCCTAAATCTGAAAGTGAAGACAATGTACCCAAGAAAGCGCATGGGCACATGGGAAGATCATTTAGCACGGGCTTTCACCAAGATCTTGTATGGAAGAGGATGTGTCATATTAATGAGAGAGGGAGCAGTGGTTCACCAGATAGTGACTCGGATTGAGAAGGGAATTATTAAATAGTCTCAAGCAGTATTATTGTTAATAGTTTGGTTTTCAAGGGTATGGCATTTTGTTTGAAATTTAATTTATCGGTTTCATAAGGTGTGTAACACAGACAATATTTACTAGGCACTCATTTCCAGTTCACGACCAAGGCCATCTCTAGACACTGTTGACATAAAAGGCGTTAATATATTGGATTGTGTATATTTGACATATATTTTTATGAAATGTTAGAATAGTCGTGATATGATTTGTGATAGTTTCAGTTCCCATTCATTTTGATAATTGGGGAAAAAAAACTTTTTTTGAAATAAAAAAAGTAATACATTTTGTAATATTAAACATGAGAAAGCAAATCAAGTTATGGGCAGTTAGGATAGTAAATTGTGAAGACCAAGTAAGTCTCATTGTGTTCACGAGTGTGTCTTAGCCACTTGTAGAAATAGCCATGGTGAATTAAAGGACCACTATAGTGCCCTGAGGGTGCCCCCACCCTCAGGGTCCCCCTCCCGCTAGGCTGGATGGCGAGGAAAGGGGTTAAACTCACCTTTATTCCAGCGCCGGGCGGGGAGCTCTCCTCCTCTTCGGCTGAATGCGAATGCGCGGCAAGAGCTGCGCGCGCATTCAGCCGGTCTCATAGGAAAGCATTTATAATGCTTTCCTATGGACGCTGGCGTGTTCTCACTGTGATTTTCACAGTGAGAAGCACGCAAGCGCCTCTAGCGGCGGTCAATGAGACAGCCACTAGAGGATTTGGAGGCTGGATTAACCCATTTATAAACATAGCAGTTTCTCTGAAACTATGTTTATAAAAAAAAAAAAAGGGGGTTAATCCTAGAGGGACCTGGCACCCAGACCACTTCATTAAGCTGAAGTGGTCTGGGTGCCTAGAGTGGTCCTTTAAACTTGCAGATGCATACACTTAATATGAAATTTGTAATCTGGTTCTAAAGTCATTGCATTTAAGATTTAAAGAAGCACCATAGCCATTGTATCTCATAGTAGTGTTAACAATTGGCTCAAATCAATGGGCGTCTTACACCAGTTTTTAGTGAACACATTTTAAAATGGCTTGACAAGGCCCAAGGCTTTCCTTGGCCACAATAATCCAGCCCCTCTGCAGCACAATGGATATTACAGAAATGACACTTCCACATTATCCTTTGAAATCTATCCAACACTGGAAAGCAATGGAAGGGCTAACCTTATTCCTAAACCTTACATCATTTCTGTCTAAAGTTTGATAGATTCATATAGATAAAAAAAAGAAGTGTAATTGCCACAGCCATGCATAATCTCACTTGGCATGAGAAGAGGCTTTAAATGCCTGTTTCTTTCAGTAATTTCAGTACTTGCAACTTCAGTAGAACTGAATCATTATTAGGGAATACTATTCAGTAGGTTGCTAGTAGGATTAGCTAATTTACACAAATAAGTACATATTAAGGATAAACTCACTTTCAATAACGCATATATTGAATATAATGGCTGTGATATATAAAGGTTATAACTGGATGTGTACGACATATCCTGAGAAAGCATGTCATTCTATAAAGCACATTTTGAAGACATCCATTTTGCATGTGGCCCTAGATGAAATCAGCAGGAAAGATAAAGGACCCATATATTTATCCCTAGAAAAGTAAAACTTAAATATAACTTTTTTTTTCAGATTGTCGTGAGGTTGTTCTTATACACACTTCCCCAAGATAATGGATGTATCTTTATTATTCTGTGACATCTGCCAACTAAATACAATAGTATAAATTATTCTGGAAATTTGGCAGTGAACGCATTTCTTGGTTCCATATTTGGTCCCAACTAAAGACTTTTAGGTGGTTTTGTTTAACTAGTACAATATATTTTCTACTTTTATAGATCTTCATTGATGTACCTGCTTCCATGTTATTAAACTAGTCTGTAAAATATTAAATCCGCAAGTCTGCCTATGTTTGTTTGTCTAAGC